GGGGGGGGGGGGGTGTAAAAAATGAGAGAGAATAAAAAAAAAAAAAAAAAAAATAAAAAAAAAAAAAAAAAAAAAAAAAAAAAAAAAAAAAAAAAAAAAAAAAAAAAAAAAAAAAAATTTTTTTTTTTTTTAAAAAAAAAAAAAAAAAAAAAAAAAAAAAAAAAAAAAACTCGTTTTTTTTTTTTATTTTTTATTTTCTCTCTCTCTTTCTCTAGTATTTCAAGTGATATTCGTGCCTATGTTCATGTTCAATGGTATACACCTTCTCCCGATCGTAAACGTCCCATTGTTCTTATTGGTCCACCATCTATTGGTCGACATGAACTTCGTCAACGTCTTATGCTTTCAACAGATTTATCATCAATAATTGATGTAGCTGTACCACATACAAGTCGTACACAAAAATCCTATGAAATTAATGGAAAAGATTATTATTTTATATCACGAAATATATTTGAACGTCAAATACAAGAACAAAAATTTGTTGAATATGGTGAATATGAAAAAAATCTTTATGGTACATCAAAAGAATCAATTGAAAATTGTTGTTATAAATTAAATAAAATATGTATATTAAATTTATATCCTGATGCTTTATTATCATTAAAATATTCAAATATTTTACCATTTATTATTTATATTCAACCACCAAATATTGAAAAATTAAAATTATTAAAAATAAATAATCAATTATTACAAATGAAAGAGAATGATCTTCTTGATATTATATCAAAAGGTCATCAAATTGAAATGAAATATGGTTATTTATTTGATAAAATTTTATGTAATTATGATATGGAACAAACATATCAACAATTAAAAACACTTATTTTAGATATTCAATATCGATCAATGTGGATACCAACATGTTGGTTTTCAAAAACAATTTTAGAACAATTTTAATAATAAATAAATAAAAAAAGAGAATAGAAAAAATAATAAATTATTTTTTTTCGATCAGATATAATCGATAGAAACAAAAAGGAGATCATATTAAACAACAACAAATAAAACAAAAAAATGTAAAATTTTTGTTAACTATTTTTTATAGATAGACACATATCAATTGAGATGAGTTATTTTTTTCGAATTTATCATCAAGAAAAAAGGAGAAAAAAAAATGATTTACTACACAGTTGTTTTATTGTTTTCTCTAAAATGTTTCTTCGTCTGTTGAACGATAGAGAATAAAATTCTCTGCCTATTGAAATCCCATCAGTTTGCCTTTATAGTTCGTTCATTTCAGTTTCAAAAAAATGTATTTTCCTTCTCTAATTTTTTTGTCTGTCTTGTCATGACATGTAAGTAGGTCGAACATTCGTTTGTTCAATAAGGATCTATCTTACTTTTTACTCTCTGATAATTAATTTCTTCTAACGGAAATGGGCACAACAATAAATGTCAAAATTTTTCAACGTTTTTGAGATTGTAGTCAGGATACCAGAGATACAAAATCTCCCCATGAAATTGAAAAATTTTCCTTAACAGAAACAGTTTTTTCAAAAACTTCTACGAACAGAATTTCTTTTTGCAATATATTTGCAGAAAGATGTTCTAATTTTTCAAAAAAAAAAATTTCCCCAGATCAATAAGTTTTTCCCCGACGAACAGGCAGATTTTCGAGCTGGTCCACAGTTCTTCAGACAAAAATAACCTGTTTTTTACTGATTTTTCTTCGACTGAAGTGAATTCAACATTCTTTTTCGAATCTAGACCAGTCCATGGTCTTGAAAGTTTGAGTCCCATCTAGTCCAAGTTTATGAGTTCAAAAATTTTTCAGTTCAGTTCATACGTAGCTCTGCTACACACACGATTTTGATTTAATAGCTGATAACTGCCAATAACTTTCTATTGCTCACACCTCTTCATTGTGCGCTTTTCAAGTATCAAAAAATAATCTCATCTCACCCAATTCATCGAGATTATCAGATTTTTATTCGATTGTAATTATTTGGCAACGATCATAGAAATTGCTAAATTTTCTCCTCAGTTCCAACTATTGATGTATTTACCCGATAATCGATCGATTTTCCTATTACTAGTTGTACATGCAGATGCATTTAGTTAAAAGTCCTTTTTCCAACTTGTGATATAGATGACAGACAAAATGTATTTCGATTTTTCCCCTAGGTGAGTTTTTTTTTCTTAGATTTGTAAGTGGACAACAAGGAAATGAGTCAATCATAGTCGCATAGCGGACAGACTCTTACTTGAATTTAAAGTATATAATCATTTGTAGCAAACACATAATCACATTTTCACAAAATTACAAAGAACATTTTTATTTTCCTTATCAGATTATTATTTCAATTTTCTTCATTGATATTTTTTCTTCTTCTTCTTCTTCTTTTATTTTAAATACACGTATAGATAGATCTTTGACATTGTGTCAATTATTTATCGATAAATGAAAATGATAGTGAAATAAATTCGATAGAGAATGATGAACTGGGTCATCATGACTGATTCACACCATTCTCACGTTTATCATTTTCAAAAAGAAGTACACGCATACATCATCTCGACAAGCTATTCGAAAAACCAAAATTGAACTCTTTATCTCTCTCTCTTCGTCACCTCAAATATTATAAAGAAAAAAAATGAATTTTTTTTATTTAAAATAGGAGAAAACAAAACAAAAAAAAAATAAAAGTGAACTTCTTTTCTACGAACGATATACAAAAGAACAAGAGAGAGAAAACTTGTGGGATATTTTGAGTACAAAAAAAAAAAATTATTGTTCGTCAAAAATCATGATGAGGATGTGTAGTAAAAACGAACATATTTGTTATATAAAGACGAATAAAATGACAACTTCATTTTTTTCCAGTTGACTAATTCTTTTACTGACAATTAAATTACTCTTCAGTTCACTCGACTACTGCTCATTTTTTTTTTTTGTGTAACCTTTTTGTTATATTTTCTATATTATGACATCTCACATCGGAAATGATATTTTGTTCGTTACTAAACAAGGAAACCATACCCTTTTTCTCTCCTTCTCTCTCTCTTTCTCTCTTGTTCTCTCGTTTCAACATATATAGGTATGATATAAAAGACGAACAAAGGATAAGAAGGAAATGTCATTTACGATAAAAACATCAAGTTCAATCGGAAATATACGTTAAAAAAGAAGAAGAAAAGAAAAAGAACTGTTTATATTTGCGAATGACTGACTATAAATATACACACACACACACACACACACACATATATATATATCGTCTATACACTGTAGGAAAGCAATTAACGATTGTGACAACTAAATTGATAGACATAATTCGTCAACTGTGATTCTTATCAATGACAATATTGCTAATTTTCTTATTTTTAGTAGAACAATGCCTCGAAAGATAATCGTGTCTGACAGTAAAAGTTTGAAAAAAACAGACAATAGATTCAAAATTGACAGGTATTTTTTTTTTAAATGAAAAACAAAAAAAAAAAGAAGTGATATCTCTCATTCATCGTTTGCAAAAACAATATTGATCTTTTCTACAAATATTTGGTATTTTAAATTCAAATAATAATAACTAATATTTTCTCGATGTTCAATTTCTTTCTCATTGACATGTACTCATCAGTGGAACGAGTCTTTAGTTCGATCTTACTATTTTTCTCTTTTTCTATTAGAAAATATGAGTGAAGTGACTTCTTATATGCTCTTCCACTTAGACAACAACTTAAAAGTATAAAATTACTTCACACATCATAAAAAAAACCTATGTCTATTAAATAATGATAAATTTTCTTGAATTCAGCTAACTTGAAGAGATTACTCTTTTTTTTTGTTTTTTGTTTCCCTTCTGAGTTTTTTTTCTCTTTTTTTTTTGATTATTAAACAAAATAGTTTAATTGTCTTTGAATGTGAATAAAAAGAAATATCGAAGAAAATATTTCCCATCGGTGTGAAGAGAATGTTCTTTTTTTCTCTTCAGTGCTTAATTATTAATCCATAATTAGGTTTATTTCGTCTTGACTAAAAACTGTACGTATGTGTGTGTGTGTATGCCATGAGCAGAAGTATTTAGAGAATTAGATGAATGTGTGTGTATGTGAACAACAATTGCCTATATCTTGTTTCATACATTACAACGGAAAAAGGCGAAGACGAAGAAGAAAAAGAAATAAAAGAAGGGAAGCAAGCAAGAGAAGAAAAATAACGAAACTCTAATCAGTAAATTCATAAATAACATATTATAGACTAGACCTTTGGGATTAGAAAACTGAAGAACGAAAAGAGAGAGAGAGAGAGAGAGAGAGAGAGAAAAATCTTTCTATTTTAATAGACCTTGAAAATGGCTGTTGTCTATCTAGAAGAACTAATTAATAGCTATGAATATCAAATTTCATTATGTGAACACGAGTGATGATTGAAATGCGTGAATGAATATATAATATTTATCATACTTCTATCATCTCAAATATACGATAATAATAATAATAATAATAATATCGTGATTAATCGTTTATTATTGATAAAAAAAAAAAAGAAAAATAAATAAGATCTCATGATGGATGGAAATAGGTGTTATCTTATTTTAACAGTTTGACATTCTCATATTTTGATGATCAATGTGTGTGAGTGTATGTGTTGATGACAGTAGACGAAGAAAAAAAAATAGACTGTCAAAATAATTATTAAAACACACACATCTTAATGATTAAAATTGACACGTACGTTAGAAATAAAAGCAAAAGCAAATAAAATGATTGAAAATCGGGGAAAAAAAGGCAAAAAATACGAATAATTATGGCGTTTTTTTTTTTGTTTTTCTTCTTTTTTTAGAATATTTTTAACTACTCTTTCTTATTCGATTCTTTATGAGTTGAAAATGGTTCGAAGTATCATTATCATAATACTTTGTACATAGTCACGAGAATTTAATAGGTATCTTCAAATTATCTATTACATGATTCAATTCTCTTTATCATACAATTAATATATAGCTGGCAAACATTTTTTACAATTCTAATATGCATCACTATTCTTTACCTACTGGTTATATGTTTCTTCTCTAGTGTGCAATATTCACATCATACGGTTCAGATGAACATTCTAAAAAAATATCTGTATAACATTATTTTTATTCTCTTTACAATAATCGAATAAAAAAGAAACAATCAATGGAAATTTAAATAAACAAAACAAAAAATAAATTACAAAAAATATTAGAGATAAAATGTATTTTGATCATACTAAACTAATGAAAAAATTAATTTGTTCAATGTTTGCTGATAGTTATTTTGAGTATGTGTATAGGTGTGATGTGTGGGTAGACATGTACCAGTTAAAAACTGGTGTTAGAATTTCCACGAAAATTGTTATAAGACAACTATAAAGATTAACTCAGAGTCGCAAAATCTCTACTCATTCTGTAGAGAAATGTCTGAACTACAATTTCATATAAGTAGAAAAGTTTCAATGTTATCTATGATACAAATATGAACATTTTAAAATGCACTAAATACAGAGCAAAAAAAATTATTCGAACAGTTTTAGTGCATTTTAGAATGCTCATATTTTTGCTAGATATAATGTCAAATTCTTTTTTACAACTGAGTTTTCAAGAGCAAACATTTCACTACAAAATGAGAGATTCTACGATTCTGAGTAATTCTTTACAAGCGACTGATAACAATTTTCGTGGAAACCCCAACACCAGTTTCGAACTGGTGCATGTCTAGATGTGAGAGATGATTTGAAATCTATAACTAATAGATTCCGTTGAACATAGGAGTGGGACAGTTCCTGCACTCATTGTTTCTAATAACTGGTCACCAGTTATCGTTTTCTTCATAAAGAAGGTGTAGAAAAGGTGATGTTCATCTATCTTGTTTTCTTATACTGTAATAAACTCATCTAGTTTAGCTTCTACCACAGACAATACTGCCATGCTTTCCACATAAAGAATACACGTATAGAAAATCTTTATTCGACAGTTTTTAATTTTTACAGACAAATCAATAAGATTTTCTATCTCTAAGGAAGTGTTGGTTGTTCTATGTTGTTTTTTAAAAGTAAAAGATACTTTCGATATCATAATGTATGTGTTTTTGTGACTAGATAAGTGTGTGCAGTATCATGTAAAACATCATAGGTTGTCGAATAAAGATTTTCTATACGTGTATTCTTTATGTGAAAAAACATGGCAATATCATCTGTGAGAGCTGAACTAGATGAGTTTATTATAGTATAAAAATACAAGATAGATGAGCATCAACTTTTCTACATCTTGTTTATGAAGAAAATGGTAACTGGTGACCAGTTCCAGTTACTAGGAATGGAAAGTGGAATTGTCTCAGTCCTAGTTGAAACGTTCTGAATTAAAAGTTTATCCAATGTACTTTTTTGCTCAGCGCATAATACATACTGATGAAAATTCCGCTTATTCAGTACATTTGATCTCTCGTTTTGATATTCAAATGCTCAATCGTACGATTGATAATGTAAATAGTACCCACATTTCCCACTAAAATTTCCAAAAATATCTCAGCAGAACCATACATAACATCGAGAAAATACACTGAAATGAATCAAAAGATTTACTTTCTACTAACAGCATTTATTACCTCATATTATTCATGATCAACAGGGTTGTTATTTTTACATATAGCTAGTTTTTTATGACAACGATGTTATTTTAAGTAAATGATTATTCTGACTAATCAAACAACAATGATATTGAGAAATTATTATAGATAAAATTTACACCAATAAATGACACCAATGAATACGCATAGCTAAAAACATTAGAAACGTTATATTTTCTTTTCATATGATTCTACTCATTAGAAAGAATAAGTTGATGTACGATAATCAGTTCAACTTTTCAAAGGCTAATCTAAAACGAGATAATACAAACGTGTATATTCAATACAGTCAAACTATAATCAACAACGAACGTTATGCCAAAAAAACTCTCTGAAAGACATTAGAAATATCGAAAATTCCAAATTTCAGAACTTCTTTTCAAAAACTCTAAAAGATAACCAAAACTTTTCCTAATGAGACATAATTGTAGCCCGCAAATTTCTGATTAAAATCAGACATCTCTCAGTTCTACACGATCTTTCTTTGCAAAGTTATAGAATTTACAAGAAAAACCCTAAATGTTCATTGTCAACTCAAAGCTACAGAAATAAGAAGGAAAAATTTAATTTAGGACTTTTCTTGTAAACTCTATAACTTTGCAAAGAAAGGTCATGTAGAGGTGGGAGATGTCTCATATAAATTAGAAATTTGCGGACTGCAATTATGTCTCATTAGGAAAAGTTTTGGTTATCTTTTAGAGTTTCTGAAAAACGGATTTTTCTAGAAAATCGCGCGCTGAAGGCTCTTGGACAGCTATCACTATCATAGTCGATAACTTATAACTCACCAGATTTGGTTGAAAAAGTGATGTGATAGTTCGCGAGGTCCTCTCGTAAGCTGAATGGACAAAAAGCAGTTAGACAAGTATATTTACTTATTTTGTTAGAGATTATGAATAGTGCTGAATCAACTCGTTTCAAGTCAAACGATAGTGCTCACAAATATGAAATTTAAAAATGACATAAAAAGAAAACATTCGTCATTGTAAAGTTATCATCTCGTAATGTGTTTTTTCTCCAACAAAAAAAAACCTGTAAAATATTGAGTGAGAAAATTTCAGTGACATATCAGAGTCAACATTTAGCCAATGAAGCAACTACGAGTGATTGATTCGAGGGGTGCAAACAACAATGTTAAAATAAAACACGTATAAATAATTCTCCTATCATTTTTTTTTTCATAAAAGAAAAAAAAAGTAGTAAACAAATAAAAAAAAACAATAGCTGATCTTCCTAGACAAAAACAAGGAATAGTGGCTACATGAAATATCACTGTTGTTAATGAAACTCTTGTTTATCTCGTTCAATTAATTGTTCTTGTAATTTTAATTGTTGTTCATATTCAAACATGTTCACACGACGTTGTTGTTCCTTCTCTTTTGATTCAATATCTCGGATTATATTTACACGTTTACGCTAAAATATAAATAAAAATAAAATATTTTATCAATTCAGTTTTCAAGATAAAATGTGTAAACAAATTTTGAACGAAACTCTCAAGAAAGATTTAAACGATGAATATATGATTAGAAGACTGTGAAACAGAACAAAGTTGATTTCAATCATTAGAGAAAGAGTAAAGAGATTGAGAATCAATTAGGAAAATGATAATCTACTTACTTGTCGTTCTTCTTCAATTGAATAATGAACATAATAAATAACGGCCGATGTTATTAGAACAGATGAAGCAAAAAATATTTTCGCATTTGTTGACATTGCTACTATTCAAAAATCTAGAAGAAGAAGAAAAAAAAATAGAACGTTAAAATATTTTCTTACTTATAATTTTAAATTTTTTGTATTTAAGTACAATTTATTTTAAATAAGTTCGTCTCTTGCACATAGATCATTAATCATCAATAAATACATCCGATTTTTCAATATGTTTCGATCAGAGTGCCCAGATCTCTTGATAAAAATTCTCTTGATTTCAGGAACTGATTTTGAAGATTTTCTCCTGATTTTCAATTGTTTTCCTACATCAATTTTGTTTTTTTTCCAAAACTCAGATGATCGATTTCAGAAACAGAATTTCTAAATCAGGAGTCTAAATAATTGTACAGTGAAAGAGTCAGCTGTGTGCTTCTCATCACAAGAAGATGAGATTAGTGAAACCGAACGGATCAAAATCTTCTTTCTCAATCCATGTACTGCAGTCTGTAACAAATGATAATACTGTTTCATCAAAAAATATCTAATAGATACAGGATGATCAAAAAGAAACTTATCTCCTGTGTATTTATTGACTTTCTTGTGTACAAATATAATTGAACTTTTTACCATTAGTTTATTCGAATAGAGCAAAGATTTCTGGACAAAATGAGACGTCTCCGAGCTCTCGAAGAGCTTTTCTCATGAAACAGCATTCAATTTACGGAAGGTCCCATACCACCAAAATCGGGACAATTAATGGGCAAACAA